AAAAAAGAAGCTGCCCTTCCTCAACCCCATGTTGAAATAAAACCTCAATCAAGAATTTAATGACAGACTTGTCTAATGACTACAGTCCCAAGTCAACTAAAAATCGGCAATTATATTGGGTTGTTGGAAAAGTCATGACGTATTTTTTCTGATTTTCGTTGCAAAAATGCGTCATGACTTTTCTGACAACCTAATACAAACTCTAAATTGGGTGTTTGCTTTTCAAAGACTAGGACAGGTTAAAATAGCATTTTGTATATGTACAACAATTCTATAGCTACCACAACTGTCCTATTCCTTTGGTGTATTCTCATCGGAACAATTTTGTTCTTTATTTTAAGATTTATGGTGCAGGGCAAGAAAGCATTCTGGATTTACAGTCAGAAAACTTAATGTTGAGTCTTGCTTTGCTCTGTTGCTTAAATAGGTCAAATCATTAATCTCCCTGAATGAAAAAAAAATGAGTTAATAATACCTTCCTTAATTATCTTACAGGGTTATCTGCATCAAATAAAATTGTATATATAAAATCATTCTAGCTTTAAATAATCATTAGTCATTAAATTTCAATAAACTCCTAAAAAGCATGGTTATTTGTATACTGTTTCTATATTAAAATTAATTTTACTTTTGAAGATGGGGATTTAGGGAATTAATAATGGGTCATTTTCATGCTGCTTCTGGTAGAAGTACCAATAAGAAAGCAGAAGGAAAATGCCTGGATTAACTCTTGACAAACCACCAGATCATACCTGGAAAGAGATCTGAGAAAATGTCTAGTGTCTGGTGAAACTAAGTTAGAAGCCCACAGTGAACCATTATGTCCAAGAGCAGAAACAGGGCAAAAGAATGGATAACAAATTATTCATGTGACCTATGTGTCCCTGTGATTTTTCTGGGATCTTGCCTCTAGAATTATCTGTCATTTGAAAAGGGAACTGTGAAAAACAGACTTTTTCCCGTAACGCAAAAATATTATTTAACTTGGCTGGTATCATAAAATTAATTGTTTGACTCATGACAAATAGAATCAATGCAAATGCTATAATCTAAAATCTAGTATACTGTCTACACAACTGAATGATTTGAAAATATTCAGTGGTCAATTAAAAAAAAAATTCCAAATGTAAAAAATAGACCACTATTTTAATTCTAAGCTGCATCCCAAATTCTTCATATAACCCTGGTCTCAAAATGATCTGAAAAAAGGACTAGGAAGGATAGCTAAGTCTATTTATATGTAAATTTCAGTCTTCTTCTTTTTTTTTTTTTTAGCTGAGCCGTCCTGCCACCTGTTGGCAGCTCAGCTCGGGCTGGGACTCGAACCAGTGACCTCGTTCTACTTCTTAATGATATAAACTGAAGCAACTGATAGCTCCTACTTATAACTCTGTAAAAACCTAAAGAAAACCAAACCTACTGCTTCTGCTATATGTAATTCCTAATCATTTCAAATATGTTTTAAATGATAAAAAAATGTACCCAATAAATATGTTGGTATCATTATTGTTATTGCATAAAAACAAAGTGTCCACTTTTTACTGCAAGAGAGCACCTTGCAATTCTCAACATAAAAACTTCTGGAAATAAACTCAACCTTTGGCCCTTAAGTCAGCTGTAAGTCATAGCATTTCTCATCAGGATGATTAATCTTTACGAAAAGGCAGGAAAAACAAGACAGAGCCACCCACTTTGATATTTTCATTCTCTGAAAAAAAAAATCCCAATCTAGCTCATGAACTGGAACCATCATTTGTAGAAAGTTTGCAATCCATCATAAGTACTTTTTGATTACAAGATTAACTAGATCATTATCTTTTTATTCTTTGCACTGAGAGAAGTGTACTGACATTAAAAAGTGGTTCTAGCTTAGTTTTACTTAGAAATCTGATAAACCTTTGCCCAGGAACCAACCAACCTTTAATAACAAGCTTACTTCATATTTTCCTTTTCTGCTTACTTAAAAAAATATAAACAAAGTGTAGCTTTTAAAAAACCTACTCCATTAATTAGAACTCATTTTTGTTATGCTACATTCATGGATTGAAGAGTGGAGAGTATGTATTTTCAGGTAAGATATTAAGCATCCTACAGCTGTTGTAAGCCAGTTGTGTGTGTGTGTGCGCGCGCCTGCTCAAGCATCTGTGTGCCTGCTTAAGTAGTAAAGGATCGTGGCAGTTACATGGAAAGGGAGAGAGGAAAAAGTGTGACTATCCTGGAAGAGGTTTCTCTGCAGGCTCAGGGAGTTTGCTGTTGACTCTAAGTAAAAGCTTTAATCTAAAAGGAGCCAAATGTGAGATAATTCTTAAAAATTTGGGTTTGATGGCTTTCTGTCATTATTTTCTTCCTTCACTTCTGAACAGTTTAGGTGGGGAATAAATCAGGTCTCACCTTGAGAAAGCTTTGCTCTAGAGGAAAGAAGAGAGTATTAAATTAATGATTCAAGGTGAGTTATGAGAAGGATGGAAATCATTCAAAGATAGGGTGGGGTGAAAATGGGGAAGGAATCTGGGTGTGGCGAGGGCAAGCAGAGGGAAAAGAATCGGAAAGCAAAAGAAAGCAGAGAAAACAGTACGGAAACTAAGTTGATAAGACAATGAACTTGTCCATTTAACATAATTCATTTACCTGTGTTATTTTTTCTATTCCCTGGAAGTTGTGCTTTTCAAAATGATCTGCTATATTTAGGAAGGTGTGACGTTCCAGGTAGCAGCAATTACTTAGGACTATCAAAAGTTGCTGTTCCTAAAAGCAAAACAATTTTGTAGAAAATTACATTTACAGTAACAAACTGAGAGTCTAACAGATCCATTTATCACTTATTAAATTTAATTATAATCTTCTGGTGTTTAATACATGGTCTTTCTTGGCTCCTTTCTCAATATTAACACAGAGAAAAACATAATACAATTCTATAATTCTACTAATTGCTTGTTATTACATAACACACCAAAGAGTCAAATAATGTTCCCTTTGAAATTTAACAGCTATATAGAGAAATAGACTGATGAAACACAGTTAACTAATAAAGTAGGATCAACTAATTTTCTTATGGAAGGGGTTCATTTTAATAGTTACTCTACTTAATACTTAGTGCACAAAAAAACTATAAAATGGATATTTTTAAGTAATTATACAACATGTAGAAACTCTTAGAAAATAGTTTATAAGAGAATTATAATACAATACATATGATGAGCACCTTCAAAAAACTTGGGCCTTCACGGGTTTGTTTTTGTTTTGTTTTGTTTTTCTTAATATAGTCTCACTCTTATGGGGAGCAGACGCACAGACGCTGGGGACTCTTCCCAGTGCCAGTCACAGAGAGGGCGACAGCTAGCTCCATGTTCCACACTCTCCAGGCTCTAGCTGCTTCAAGTTATTTCTTGTCAAAGTTACCAGACCCCAATGCTGATGAACAAAACATCTTTCACCATTCAGAGGAACTATTTTGTAAGTAAAATTTCAGGAGTGGCACTTGTCACTGCTACTGTGGCTCACTGAGGGTACTTGGCCTGTGCTCCCTCAGGTGTGACGGCATTCTCTGGAACAAATGTGACTCATTTAGGGTGTTAGTTTAAGATCCCTTAACTAAAAAAACTAAGGCAAAACCACTTTCCAGGAGAAGGTGTCACCACATTCTGTTTACCGTTTCATATGTAATCAGAATAACTTGTGTTAAAGTCAGTATGATAAATGTGGAAATAAATGGGTCCCTGTCCTTTGAGGTATACCAACCACAGATGAAATATACTCTTTGAACTCAACTGCCAAGCACAGGTTATATCTCTCCAATACTTTCATTTAGCTCCATCAGATTTTTAAAACTTTCTAAATTTCTTTATTTAAAATGTCCCTGTCTTTATCTCTGGCAGAGTCCATTCAATGCCTTTTCTGGTCATCAACAAATATAATTAAAAGGCCAAGAAATTATTACAGTACCTTCAAGCAAAGGAAGCACTGTTAAGGGCTCTGAATTAATCTATGGATGGGAAATGGAGCACAGAACAAGGTAAACAGGGTTAGGGTAGGTATACTCCTCCTGCACACTGTGTGACTAAATGGCAAGTGAGAGTCAGAAAGAAAGCAGTGGACAGCACTGGAAAGGGGCACAGATAAGGCTGGGAGGCCACATTCCCTCTTTCCCGAAGCCTGGGTTACCCTTCTGTGGTCCTTGTAAAGCACATGTCTCTTCAGCCACTCCAAATATACTGCGCTCCACTCACAATTCTCAACTGTAGTCTCTGTTATAAAATCAATTCTTAATTGTCCTTTCCTTCAACAGTCTTCCCTCCAAACATTGGCCTTATCTGCTGCATCTTCTGTGCCCAATTAATTAACTCACTTTGGTTGATTTTTCTCATTATAATCTGCATGAATTCTTCCTCCAAAATGGAAAAATTATTTGAGTGACTTAAAGTCTTATGCTTAGTGTTTTCCCCTCTCAAATCTAACCAATCAGAAGAAATAAAAGTGGGAAGAAGAAATTGAACAACACAATCAAATAATCAAATTCTTAAGCATGGATAACTAATCAAAGCTTATTAACCACTTAGGTGAATATATGTTTGAAAATAACAACTCCACCCATCAGAGGTAGCACTTAGAGATTAAGGATTATTTGTTATTATGTGTTATTTCAGTTATTTCTCACCGAATCTCTGAGATGGAGGCATTACCATCTTGGTTCTGTCCTGGAGGAAGCTGGACACCCTCAGCAACATGCCCAAGGTTATCCAGTTAGTAAGAAGCAGGCCAGGAAGTAAACCAGTATCTTCTGACTCCAAACCTAGACCTCTTACTACCATAACTGCTTCTGCTGAATAACAGAACAAGACCCTAAGAAGATCTCAATATTCTGGGCCAAATGTAACAAGACACCACAGAAGGGGAAACATTAGGAAATGAATTTGGTATCAAATGAACCATTTTTGGAGTAAAATGGGGGAGATAAGATCCCGCGAGTAGCAGAAGCAAGAACGAAATTTGGGGCTTTGGTTGGCAGTAAGCTCAATGTAAGTCAACAGAGAGGTGTAACCTAATGGGTGCTCCTGGCTGCTTCCCAGGAGTCAGGGTCACACGGGGCCCTGTGCCCATCCTGGAAGAAGGACTGAAGTAAACTCAGAGGAGAACTGCCACATCGAGTGACTGCAAGCACATCAGCTGTGAGATGTCTAAATGATCTAGGGGGTTAGTTAGGGGAAGGGACGATTCACAGTGCATACCACAGTTGTTTTCAAACACTGGAAAGATTATCATGAAGAAATTAGGCATGTTCCAAAAGACAGAAAAAAGCTTAGTGGGCCAGACGGCTGGCAAGGCCTTCCTGAGTTCGGAAGGATCTTTCCTCCAGCACGTACCCTTCTCTAGCGCTCTATGTTCACAGTAGAAAGAATGGTTGAAACTCTGCACATCACTTCCTAGCTCCTATTCAGTCCTGACCAGTGCAAATAGACAGCCGCCTGGCAGTGCAATGACACCTTTCTCTCAGCATCATACAGGACCTACTACCTGTCAGGTCATGAGGCTCTAGTTTTCTTCTGACCCAGCCTGCTCCTCCATCGGTCTGCAATGCTATGAAATAGGCCTTTGTTTAAATGCTCTTTCCCATCTGTCTCAGGAACACTGCTCTTTCTGGGTTTCCTTCTCTGTCTCATTATTCCTTCAGAGTTCTTGGCTTCTGGCCATCCCTTAAATACTGGTACCCCCAATAGCACTTTTATATGTTTGGCTCTCCTCTCATCCTACTAGTATTTTCTCTAGGATTCATACCCACTCCCACTGCCGATTCACAAATCTGCATCCAGATTTCTCTCCTGGGGTCCAGGTAAGTATATCCAATCCCCCACTAGATATCTCTACCTGAATGTCACTTATTCAATACATCTGGTCCCAAACTGAATTTTTAATCTTTCTTTAGAACCTATTTTCTTCCTGAATTCTCTCTGTGAACGGTACCATTATCAATCTACCCAACCAAGTAATTAAACCTAGAACAGATTTTATTAAAAGTTACTTTGACTAAACTTTGATTAAACTACACTTTTCCGAATATAACAAGTCCCTTATTTAGGAATTCATACTTACAAATATAATGATTGTGGAAATGATACAGAGCAGGAAATGTAGGTCATATATTTTCTTTCTTGAGAAATACACACACATACACACACACACACACACACACACACTTCAAGGTAGAGAGGGTTATATGTTTTTTAAGATAGCTGGAGTTTGGATTTCAGCAGCTGAATTTATACATGTGATACAGTATGTGTATGAATC